ACAATAGAAATAAAAGGAAGCGGCTGGTGTATGTTAGGTTATAAATCAAATGGATTGCTTTTAGGGAAATTCATCTATCTAATTCCCTGTCTTTAAATGATTAATATGCATTTTTTATGCTGTAAAAACCATAGCTGATTCAAAACACCCTTTGAAATTTGTAAAATCATGTAATTCGAAGTCATTATTTACTAATCACAAACAACTGACTACTTTACTTTGATAAATATGGTCGTTTTATTAATTGACGCATAATTTAGTTTAAGATCGTGACATCTAAATATTTTCAGCAATTTGTTTCACTTAGTTTCACCTTTGTGATGTTCCTTTAACAGCTTTTCGCTCTGTTATCAGAGTATTGGTATTCATTTAGTAATTGTCAGTGAAAGAAATACGTCTTTTAACCATTAACATTGACTAATGCTTACTTTATTCATAAATCAATCTATCTAATTTTTGTTTTAAAAAAAAATTATTATTTCTTTATTCGAACATGATATATACGTTAAAAATAAGAAAGTAAATTTCAAATCAATACAATTGGAAATCCTCCTACATATCGTGCATTATGTTTATTGGTTTAAACATTAAAACCAATCGGAGAGTAAATGGTTTATCAGCAGTGAACCAATCATTCTTTCAGCATTTATTGTTATTTCACTATCTTTATTTCTCTTATTAACAGGTGAAGAAAAATCAGAATAGATATGTTGTACTTCAGTGTTTTGTTAGTTCATCAAATTATACGACAGAAGTCAATTGCTTCCTGTCCAGTTTTCCAGTCAAGGAAACTAATGCATAATCACAAACAAAAAAAGAAATAGAGCAATGTTTGCAGTCAACTTGTGTCCAATCATATTTCAGGTTACAAAAAAAGTAGAACAATTAAAAGGGAAGCAAGCAAAGTAAAAAGGCAGGAAACTGAAAATTAACGGAATTCACAAAATTAAACGTGGGTGAGAGATGAAATAGGTAGTAGGAGGGTTGGGGGATCAAAGTTTTTTATTTTGCTTTTCTTAACTTTTCACTAAATAATTCAACTGACTAAAATTGTTTCAAGTATTTGATTATGGATAGTAGAATGAATTGCCAACTGTCATCTATATGACTTACAAGATCAAGTATTATTTAGGTAAGACACTTAAATAAATTTGTAAATTTTGAAGTTTAAATTACAAATACTATAATTCAGTTGATCAACTGTTACAAATGACTTCTGATCGAGAAAATATAGCTTAATATGAATATAAATAATTCATCTGAATTATAAATTGCAACTATCTGGGAGTTTCAATTTTTGTAACCCCACTTGTCTATCGGTTATCGTAACAGCTAACTAATGAGATGAAACGATTGGACAAGCTTTATTTTTACTTTATTACCTTGTCATCTAGAGTAGATGAAATGTCACTGAGTGACATATGATTGTTTTATTTTAGTTATATAAGCCCTTTAGTTAGTTCATGTTTTAATAGTAATCAGTCAAGAAAAAAACTGACTGATAAGTAAATGATTATATGTATAAATTATAACAAAATTGACAATAAATATTTCTTAAGTTTTAAGCACTACGACAGAGATTTGACTTGATAAATTCATACTGTTTGAGCTTTAGGTAGACTGTTTCTTGAGGTCCCTGAAGAAGTGGCTTACATTGAGTGACAAAACATCAAAGGTTTTATTTCTTAATAATTGGTAAATTACAAATATATCATTATTCTGATTATCTCTCAAATTGGTTATAACGCTACCTATTCTTCTCCAGAAGAGAAATGTCTATATTTTTCAATGAATTGATCATTTAATCGAAATCACTGAACAATAAAAACACTAAAATCAAAGTAGATATTCATAAAAATAAAGAAAATAGAATATTGAGATCGAAAGTTTTTTCTCTCAATTGTGTGTTATTTTATGAAACTAACGTTTTCTACACTGAATTTATGTTGAAATATCTGACGAAACTAACTACAAATTAAATTTGCAAGCATTTCATAAATATCTCCCCCCAGTAGTCTGCTTGAATTTTCTGAATGAAAACAGTCAAAGTTTGGGAAGCAAACTCACATTACATTTTTTTAATTTACAAGATAGTAAACTTCTCATTCACATCACTGAATAATAAAATATCAATATAACAATAACTTTTATCAATCTATAATTATTGAATCAAAATATCAGTTCGAGAAATAGGTTTCGAAGTAACTGAAATCCATACTACTAACAAGTCCCAAACTAAAACGAGACAGCTGATCAGTACCACCCTGGTTTCCAAATGACTATCCAGCTTATGCTAACTTGTAATAAAAGCTTTTAGATGGGTTAAATTAATTGAAATTAATCACTCAACCAAGTATGTGTTGACATTAGTGTAGGGCATTGATGGAGATTGTTGAATATTTGTTTACATTAGGGACTAAATTTGGTAAGAAAATCATTGGCAATCAGAAAGCAATCGACTGCTGTGTCACTCTGGTATAGAATTTTTCAGAACCGCATATATGACATACTAGGGGATCAAACCTAGTCCCATCAAGCATCCTGAAAAAAATTAGCCTTGAGATCATTGTTGACATTTATTGATTCGCATTTCTATCTTGAATCAATTCCTTGTCTTGAAAAGTTTCAAAAAGAAATGACACAGTTCTACAATTTCTCATAGTTTTCACTATTTTGTGTACTTCATATGGGGCACGGTTATATTTACTGACTTTTTATAATCCTGATGAAGATGTCATTATTCTAAACTATTAAAATATAAAAACACAAACACTTCTTAATTATTAGTTGTCTGTTAAAAGTCAAACTAATCCTTCATTCGAACCCGATATGATATTTACAAGAATCAATAACTTGCATACTGATTGATCTTTGCATCTTTTCACTTTATATTTATACATTTAATGGAATTTGTGTATAGACTAACAAAAAAGGCTTATGAAAATTCACTAAGATATATGATCTCAACTTTATTATACTCAATAACTTGGACATTTATTCTTTTATTTTCAAATCGAACTAATAGATATAACGTCCATTTGATAAAATTAAAATGAACTTTTTGATATTATCTAAGTATTTGTCTGGTGGCACTTGACTACTCTTTAGTCAGGATAAGTAAAGTAAAGAAATTATGAATTTAAATGTTTTCATTTGTAAGTGATTCGTCAAAAGGGGCTATCAAGTATAATGATACATGACAGAAACTGAATGCCCCAAAATATTTGCGTTTATTGTAGTACTAAAGTATGTTGAATCAAATATTTGAACATTGGTCATTCCTTATTCAAAAATATACCTAAAAACGATACATTGAAAAAACTCACTTTATAAATTGCTAATAAAATCACTGAGTAAAACAATAGTTTTAAGATTACTACTAAAATTGTGTAACTGTGTGATATAGATAAATCATATTGTTTTTTTCTGTTTTAATTACTCGGTTTAAAATATCCGAGTCGATTAAACTTTCTATATATTGAATCGATGTTGCCAATGAAATTAAAATGAATTATTAGACTTAATCATTCGTCTCTAATACCATAATGTTCACTTATCATTTAAGATATGGATTTCCACAAACAACAGATTTATGCAGTAAATTTTAATACATATTGATTTGATATCATCCATAAATTGAATTAGTTGTGTTGGTAGAAAATAACTGTTGTTTAGGGGTAGAATTTCGATGGTCTTGAGTTCTCTGAAGAAGAAAAGTGATTATTTTATAATCTTCCCAATTCTTCGTGATTCAATCGTACTTGTGTAACACAAACTAAAAAGTGAATTGATTCTATCATACTCCAATCAATCAGTGGATATAGACATTTAATTACACGAATGGGTTACAAAGTAGTGACTGACGTTATTTATAAATAATATCTCTCAGACAATTTGTCTAATGTAACTATGAACGTAAGTGATTTATCATTTTGCTACATTATATTTGATATTTGGTCGTTAGGACCATTTATTAATATACGTAAGCTACTACATTTTATCAGTTTAGAGTTGTGGAAATTGTTGAGTTTTTATTGAGATCATGAACCGATCAATTTTAGATCACCATTGGAAAGTTGGAAGCACTGGACGGCCGTTATGTTTCAGTATGGGACTCCTCAACAGATTTTAAGCGTTCGTACGAGAAACCAAAGTTACCGGGTTATAATCCCGCATGCAGGATCCTGGATGCGCACTGCAGAGGGTCCCCACACTAGGACAACATGGTCGTCCAGTGCTTCCAGGTTTCCACTGGTGGTCTAAAATTGGTTGGTTCATGGTCTTAATTACTACATCTTAGTTTGTTAATTGTGAAAAGTACTTAATGAAGGTAAAAGCCAGAATGGTTTAGTGTTATCTACCCACTTATTTTCACTAAATGTAACAGCACTGAATTTCATATAAATTATCAATCGTATTTTGACTTGGTATAATTTAAGCTGTGTTAACTAAGACGAGTGCCGTATTATAAGCAACAAAATTAAAACCAATATTATAATTTCTAGACTTTAGTAATAAGTGAGTTACATCTGTCAAATTTCGATGTTGATCACTAGACTAAATGACTGAATACTAAAGTAGAATTAGCTTGGTTTTAAGTGGTTGAAATCCTAAGAAGAACATTAATTCAGTTGTGATTTGAGTTATACTTTATAAATAACTGCCTGTTAATACAAACCTAAGGTTTAAAGCTGTCTGCGAATTGTCTTGAACGTTTAAACTCAACCAAATTACGTTCACCTATGAATAAAAAATAAATATTCAGTGAAAATGCACAACTTTATAGTAAATGATCTAATGAAAGTTGATCATTGATAAAACAATAGTAAAACAACGAAATTCTTTTAACTTATAAACTTCCATACATAGGAGTTTTAACTTATCAGCGATGAAATTTTGAAATAAATCTCATTGAGTTTTTTTCATATTCGAACAGGAAACCAAACGATCAGTTCCAATCCTGCTTTTGTAAATAGTTTCGATAATATTAATAATTAATAATGAATACAATACCTGTTTATTTTAATAACATAAATACAAATGAAGCTATAGAGAATGAACATTTTGTTCGTGCATTTCACTGTTTTTTCGAATTGTTTTCAAAGCCTAATTTCAACAATGAAAATAAATTATTACATAATACGAAGTATTTGAGTACACTTGAAAGTGAACCACCATTTTTACAATCATCAATATTAAATAACATAAATGATCACTGTAAAGTATACGATAATACTGATATTACTGCTACTACTACTACTACTACTACTACTACTACTACTACTACTAATAATAATAATAATAATAATAATAATAATAATAATAATACTATTAATAACAATGATGATACTAATAATAATGAGAGGAATAATTTAAATACTAATAACTACATAAATCATGAAAGTTGTAGTGCATACAATACATATCAATCATTATTTTTATCAGGACTTCAGAAAACTTTCCGAAACCATTTCATCATTCCACAATATGCTTCCTACATGAAATGGGAAAAATTTAATGATGTATTAAAAATGGAAGAAAATACAAATGAAATTCCTTTAGATTTAAGTGTGTCATCTAATCCTTATAAGTCATTGACGCAGTCAATAAATACTACTATACATACAACACCTCATGATATTGGTAGTAATATAAAACTAAGAGAAGACAATAATAATAAGCAATTGATATTTTGTCAACTAAATTGTGAATATTCTCAAAGAAATGAACATACTAATGATGACAGTTTATTAAACCATCTACATTTATCCTATGATCTCAGTATGAAAAGAAAAAGATCGCATAAACGTTTTATGAATAGAAAAAATGCACTTGTGACTGCTAATGATGATCATATTAGTAATTCAAACAATTATTGGAAGAGAAAGCAATATACTGATGTTGATATGAGTAAAAATATAGCGCATTTTATTAAGTTGAATAGACGATCTAACAAATTGGAACAATCGCCAACTGTCAAATCATCATCATTGTCATCATCCATAACAACATCCCTACCAACAGTCAATCATATTGAATGTAGTCCACCTGGCAAACAACCAGTGACTCGATGTAATCATTGTCATGTTCTATTTCCATCTTTGTACGAATTAAATAATCATTTTATCAAAGAGCATAATGTTATATTGCAAGCTGAAATGGAGCATACAAAATCGTGGAAATCACATACAATAGATGACAGTTGTTTACAAGTATGTTTACTAATTTTGTTAGTGAAAATATACATATGTATAAAGTCATAAATCAGTAAATAAACTTTATGTGAAATTCTGACTAGAAAATTAATTATTAATTGGAAAGTTGTCAGCCAAAAATTACTTTGAACCGCATATTACCTAAATTTAAAAGTATACATCTTATTAATTTATTAACGGATTTAATACTTTCTACGAAAGTTAACGGCTACAAATTTTATAATTTATACATGAGGTCATTTTCTAATTCCTCAAGCAAATAATGAAAAACTGTCTAATATTTAGCTTATTTAAATCCTTATTCCAAAATGTTCTACTTTTTTTTAGAAATTCCTTAAGATTTTGAAGATAAAGATGTACTCAGTGCCTATATAATTACCATTTGGGTCTTCTGAACAATGAAAACTTCTTTACTTCATAACGAGTCATACTTTGTATTTTCATATCGCATAGTAGACAAGATACTACTCAACAAAACAAACAAGGGTTCAGAAGTCAACAATTTAGAACTCCAGTCAATTCATAGTATAGTGTAACCAGAAAAAGACCACCCAACAAAAATCAATTAACATCTAGTTAGTCCCACCTTAGGACTCCCTAAAAGTATTCATTCAGTTGACTGTCAACTATCTAGTAGGGACCTACAAAATTTGATTTCGAGTAATACACTACTAAATATACGTTCAGAGAATTGGCATTAATACATAATATGTGACTCACAGTCTACTAAACTAACCTGTAATTAGTCACTGGTATTTATTTTAAGTCATCCCGATGCGGCCAGCTGCTGGAAGTTTAAAATGATGAAGAATGCAATACACCAACAACTTAAACTATGAATCGAGTAATGAAATTTCTCAGAAAAATAATGCGGAGAAATTCATTTCCGAGATAAATTTCGATATTAATGGATCACATTAAAGCTTAATAATCTCCAAATTAAATCTATGAGAAAATTGTCGTTTTTGTTATTACCTTTTCTCTCTCTCTCTTCATTTCTTTGTCTAGAACATGAGGATACTATTGAATCGTTCAACTAATATGAACATGTCTGGTTATCCATGTCCAAACTGTGATTATGTAGCTAAATGGCCAACAGAATTACAAAAGCATATTATGGTTCATTCAAAACAACGTCCACATCGCTGTATTATATGTGGATTATCATATAAATGGAAATGGGATTTAGGCAGACATTTTGATAAAAGTCACAACAGAACAATGAATCCCTATAAGAAAAATGTATTCAATCATATACAAAATCATAATAATCGATTAAAATCTGTGAATAAGACAAATATGAAAACAAAAAAGTTGTTGCCTGCTCATAAAAAGGTAGATGAGGTTTCAAAATGCAATTATCAGTTGACTCACTCAATGGGGAATCCTAAATTACTTTCAACATCAACATACATCATATCAAACCAACAAATCGAAATTTGTAAAACATTAACACAAGATAAGACAATAAAACCGATTGATTTAACAAGTTATACTCAAATGAATATTGTTTAATTATTGTTTCAATGGATTTGTCTGTTTACTTCAAACTAACACCGACAAATTCGGTAGTATTCTCGGTACTACTACACCAATTTCAAATGCAGTAATACAGTCGTATATATATGGTCTTAAATGAACTATTAGAATGAATAAATTTTGATATAGTTATCCAGCTAACTTCATCCAAAAACATCAGAATAACGTTAACTGTTATATATACTTATGCACAAATGAAGTAAAACATTTGTTTTTACATTGATGTTACACATTTAATTTACTAATAAATAACTAGTTATTCGAGTTTATGATAGTTTCAATTTTGATAATCTATCAAAATAATTGCGCTAAAAAGAAAAAAATGATGATATAATACACTACTGTGAGCCTTGTTGTAGAAACTTGTGTCGTTAGAGTATTTTCACATTGATCTGGATCAATACAGTCAAACTATTGTCATTACTATTATTGTTGTCATTATTACTATTATTATTATTAGTCCTTATTGTTATTATTGCTGTTACTGCAGTCTAGAACATCGTCATGGTCAACTGCAGTGTAATAAAATCGATGCATTATTTTCTGTGGAATTAACTGAAAATATTAATTCGATTTTCTTTCATGTGATTAACTGAAATAAAAGAAGTTTTTTGCTTGGATTTTTTGGTCAAATAACTTATACCATTTATTTGTGGAGATTGTTGTGTGCAAAAATTAGTTTTATGTGTTAGACATGTATTTCTGTTCAAATTATCAATATATATATATATATATATATTATTATCGTTATTATTATTATTATTATCGGTTTACGAATAAATAATAAATAAATTTTCTCTTCTAGTCAGCGGTAGATTCCATTACTAAGTGGAACATTGAACAACTATCCTGTTACTAGTTAGAACTTTTAAAGATTACATGAACACGTTTTCAAACCTAAGTTTATTTATACTTTATATTCCCTAGTTGATCAAAAATAATTTTCTTTGTTATATTGAAGTCATTGGTAAAAATCATATTAAAAATCAGTAAGTCTTAAAACAGGAATCTTTTCTATATTACTAATTTATTATTTTATGTTTGAAACTTGTAATCCTAGAATTGAACTTCATTTTGAACAACAACTTACTTGTAGCTCTAATAATGTCTGTCTGTCAGATAAGCTGTTATGCTCAAATAGCTTACTATTTTACAGTAGCGCTCAGATGAAAACTTAAAATGACTCATTAGCTGTTTAGAATGCTAGAATAACTAAGTATGATGTTTAATGATAGACTGTGCGAAATCAACAGGCGATCATGTATGAATGTATATTACTTAATACGGTGCATTACAACCTAAGTTAAGATGTGAACTGTTAGGTCATTGCTTGTTAAGGTTTTCTTCCTTAACAGGTGGATGATATATATTATTTGACTATTTCATTCTACTTGACTTGTATCTGTATTAAATAGGTACTATCTTTTGACTTTCAGACATAATGTTCCACCAAATACCTAGTTCCATATTTCCCAATAATATATTAAGAAGATTTACAAAATGTGACATATAATTTTTAAGTGCTGAATTTCAAATAATTTTCGATTATGTCTGTTCTAATTACTTTTGTTAAAAGTATTTTAACATATTCATTAATTGCTGAGTTAACTTAACTGAGGACCAATAGAAAAGTGCCAACGAAACAAGCAAAAATAAGTTTTCAAAGAACTGAACATTAGTGTTCATTAGTTTATCAGTGACAAAATAAATGACATAGAACTCAAAGCCTTTCATCAAATACATAGTTGTTCATTCAGGTTTTTACATTGGTAATCAGTGATCCATCAGTACAATTTATACTAAAGTTTTGTATTAAAGTTTGCTCATAATTACATGTAAACTCGTATAAATTATAATCTGCTAGCAACGTAAACAAAAACCTACTTCTAAATAAACGTGATCTATTCTCAGAAACCGTTAGATGAATATTCAATCAGTAAATATGGGAGATAACTTAAGGAAACCTAATGAGATTTCGATCAGTGAAAGAAGAAATTAGATTTTAACGATTAAACAATACGTTATCTTCATAAGTTACGTCACAGACTGATTTTAATTAGTAACACGCCGAAAACCGGCAAATACTGGACGAATGTTTCATAATAGTGTGGGAATTTTAAATGGTGCGCACTCGAAATCATACATGAGATTGGAACTAATACTTTCTTGGTGAACGCTTAACCTCTAGATCACTGAATCCAGTAGTATAGATGTCTAACTTTAACCAGATCACGATATTTCTCGGCTATTTTGTTATTGTTTCCACACTCACACTCAACATGATTGAGCTCCATTAGTTATGACTTCTTCCTAGAACTTCTGTAATTGCATCCCGAAGAGAGTCACTAGTGAATACTATGATTGTCTAACTAGGGCCGGTCTGTGGTGTAATCGACGAACATTCTACAATATCCACAAGCCTGGTTACTAAAATATGATATCGTTTAGTGGTCTATTGTTTGGTAAAAATTTCTAATTCCCTTAATTTTAATATTTAAGAGTTTATTCTGACTCTGTATTCTAAATATTGTTAAAAAATGTTCTCAATGAAAGCTTGCTTGTAATTGATAGATTTCAAGTGAAAACTGTTTTTGTAACTAAAACTAGCTGATCCACTTTCAGTTCTGTTTCATTTATTCTCTAAAGTTAAAAACAATATATACTAACCGTTAAAACGTCGGAAATTCGATTTTTTATCGGTTGAGATATTATGAGAAAAAATATTTTTGTTATTATAAACAATATCAAAAGGTTTTAGTGTAGATGAATTTCGACTATTAGTTCAACTCATGAATTGTGTCACGTCCCATTTGTACTCGTTAGCTGGAGATACCATTTTCGTCTCAGTGTTGGTTTTTACAATAAGGCTCAACTTCAGTAACTTTCGCTTCAAACCATAACCCATCAACCACTGAGTTACTGAGTCCAGATAGGCCCTAGTTTGTGAAGGGTTTTATCTGTAAGAAATCATATTCTCCCGTTTATTCATGAAGAGCTAGTATAGAGCTAATCCCCCCAGTACCAATATATATAAAAAAGGAATAGTCAGCTAATGACCTTGACATCAACAAAGGGAAAATACATGTGGTAACAAATAATACTGAGAGAGTTTTCGGAAATAAGATAATCTTCTAACAAGAATAATCCATTTAAAATTGATTGATTTCTGGGTAGTGAGCAGTATCATGTGTTCCAATCCTTCCTAGTGCTGATCGGATTTTATCAATCAAGTTGCAATGTAGTCACTGGTCTGAGTGGCTTGACATCGCTTCCACTATCCTGACATGTGAGGCTGTGGTTGGAAGTAGTTGACTGCATTCGTTTGTTCACGGAAACTGTGACATGTAGACCTAAAACATTATCATCAAAAATAAATTCCAACAAGTTGTTTTTCTAATGAAAATCATATAAATAAGAATATTTCAATGGATATTAGTAATACTGTGGTGTATGCTACTCATGTTGACAGATATAAATAGTATGTAGTCGCAATCGGAAGTGGAATGCCTGAGGCGAACATAAAGAAAATAGGAGAGGAATCAAAATAACAACAGAATAAGAGGTATATTAGATAGGTAAAGGATAACGCAATTAGGATATGCAAATGATATAGTCAATGTACAGTGTTCATATTTTACTAAGGCATTCTGTAATTTCTCATTAGACAGTAAATTTATTTCCTCCACCTGAGTTATCACCCACCACAATACTAGTTTTATATTGATTGATTATAGTATGAATCCTAAGATAGGAGGACTGTCCAGCTTTTATTATTGAGTTGTTTCATTGAAATGACTCGTCTACACTGTCCATTTAACTTTATCGTTGTCTTACAATTTATTCAGTCTAACTATGAACTAGATATGAAATTTAAAATTTTCATACACATTTTAAGGTAATCAATTGTTACTATTTTTTGGCGTTTGTGTTTTCAGAGCAACAGATTCTACTCATTGTATATGTTATAATAATTTTCCTGTTTTCTTTCATAACACTTAACATTTACATACTAACTAAATAACATTAGAACAGCTTTGTTAGGCTAACGAATGAGTTTTAATAAATTTGAGATGTAGTAACATTTCACTGTTATACTGGTTCAGATCAGGCTTAAGTTAATAGTTAGCTTTAAGGTTAGGTATTAGAATTTATGGTATTTATAAACCTTAAGTCCCAACTCGAACACAATTCGCAACCCTAAACTCCAACAGTTAAGTACCTATAATCAGTTTTGGAAAACATTTTAATCAGGCAAAATCAATACACTCTATTAAAATTATTTAATTTTCTTTCTGACCATACTTCATTCATTTAATTATATTTACTGCTTTCTGACTAACTGAAACGGGTCAAAATCTGAAGATCATTCAATAACATGGTCTAACTTCATTATACATACCTGACAAAATTAAAGAAAGGTATTTATCCGAAAATTCACAGTTTAATAATATCCCAGCTGGTTATCACTCAGTATTATCTCATTAATAGTATATACATAATTTATATTCTAATAAAGCTTTTCCTATATCTCTTTTTCTTTGACTAAAAATATTTCTACTATTCTAACAAACGTTAATGATCTAAGTAATTATTTTTTTCCAAATATGCTATCATGCCTTTGTTTAATGCATGAATGAATAAGTATATATTCATCTTTCTTTCCCTTACTCTATTTATTGAACACACACATGCATGCACACTACCTCTCCTTCTCACACACGCTCATTTTGTGTTGTTGTTTCCTTGTTCTTGCTTCTTCTAGTTAGTGATTTCATATCAAAACATAGACTACTATAAAAAACAACCTAGAAAGCTGACCGAAATGATAGAATTATTCAGTATATTCAATTAGTTTTACAAACTTCTCTCACTTCTATATATATATATATATATATATATATATATATATATATATATATATATATATATATATATATATATATATATATATATATATATAGCACGTGTTTTCTTTT